AAGGAAATGCTAATCAACTCGTGTAATTGAAGAATGAATTTCGAAAGAATTTGAAGTTTGATATGATTCGTAAATTGTAAGATTTAATTAAATCATAATATTTGAATCAATTAAAATTATGTGTTTTCAATTCAAAAACAATATTCAAAGATTTGATCGACTAAGCTCAACTCATTTCAATTCGTAGACAATATTAAAATATTTGAATCGGTTAAACTCGATAATTTACTACAACGTATTAATCAAACTATGTATAGTTAAAGTTTAGTATTTTTTTTATTGAATTTTATCATAAAAAATATTAAAATTTAATTCTTAAAAATCGTAAGATTTAATTGTTTCGTGGTTAGATTCAATCTTACGAATTACAATTTGATTCTTACGATTCTACGAATTAAATTATTATTATTTTTTTGTTAAAATTGAATTGAAAGGATAGTAGACTTTAATTATAAATAGTTAACTCGATTAATACGTTCTTGTCAGTGGTTGAACTTAATCGATTCAAAATTTTGAATAATATTTACAAATTAAAAGGACTTGCGCTTAATTAATTCAAATCATACGCTTTAATTAATCTTATGATTTTATTCTTACGTAATTTAGGAATTCTTTTTTTTATGATAAAATTGAAATAAAAATGTATTACAGTTTAATTAATAATAGTTAATTTGATTAAGACGTTCTTGTCAATAGTTGAGCGCGCTTAATCGATTCAAATATTTGAATTATGTTTACGAATTGAAAGAACTTGAGCTTAATTGGTTCAAATATTACGCTTTGATAAAATATTACGATTTAGAATTAGATTCGTACATGTGTTAGGAATTAAATTTATTATTTTTTTATGACAAAATTGAATTAAAAAGATATTAATTAGAAATTACTTATAAATAGTTAAATCAATTATGTAACACGTTATGTCAATATTTAAGCAATCGATTCAAATATTTGAATAATGTTTACTCATTGAAAGGGTTTGAGCTTTAATCAATTCAAATCTTACTATTTGATTAAATTAAATATTAAAAGAAAATTCATAATATAGTATTCGTAGAATATAATTTTATTTTAAAGTACGAAAACTACTAATTGGAATGAGTTATAATTTTTTCTTCTTCTAAATAAACATATTATTTAATTTTTTATTTTGATTTGTCACACTATCGATTTAATAACATAAGTGAGTTTGGATTAAGTTATGTATTTTTTATATTTAATTGAGCATTCTTTACATTTTTAAATGGTGGAGTTTATTAATATTTCTAATATAATATATATATATATAATGATAGATATTTGGCGTATTGAACTGCAATTCTTTATATTTTTCAAACTTTATCATATTAAATTTGTTAATAATTTATTTAATATCATTTAATAATAATGAATGTCGCAATTAATATTTTATTTAACAGTATTTATACAATTATGGTTAAATATATCATAATAAGTTAATGTGCTTGGATGCTAATTAGGAGTGATAAGAGTACTAAGATGCCACAAGTTCTATCCCTAGTGAATGCATTTTTTTTTATTATTTATCAAATAAAACTCGGTCACATTTTTGGAACATAATCATGTTATTTTCCTAGGGTCCAGATTTAATCTTAGAAAATTAATAGTAAATAATGCATATCTAATATAAGTTTAGAATACAGGTGGTCTCACCATAGTCTAGTCCAATTAAAAATATCATAAATTATTTATAGATGTAAATTAACTATATCTTTCTTAATTTCTTTTCATTGTCGCTAAAAGGCAATGAAATATTTAATAAATGCAATTTGACCGACAAAATTAAATAAATATGTACGCGTTAACATACCTGGAAACTAAGTTAGTTCAGCAAGAAAGACATGAAAATTGCACTTTGATTTTCTTTTGGAAGCTTTTACCAAATTAATTAATTAAATGCTTCTAGACAACAACCTCAAAGTGTACCAAATGTGAGACTTTGAACAAATAAGAGAAAATGTATCAATTGGAACACAAAAAATTGAATTCTCATCGTGCACGAAATACATTTCCCATAAGTTACTATATTATTATATCCCAAGAAAATTAATTGTATTTTAATTATCTATTATTGCTAATAAATCTTTATTCATAATGATTTAACAACACAACTAAAATACATTCTTCCACTTTCCACCCATTTCTAGCCGATGTCACCCAATACGTAAGCTCTACCGAGTCATGATGATGAATGACGAGTCCAGGAATTTATTATAGGGTAGGTTAAATGTTTCAGAAGTTCGGGGACAACCCTCGGTAAAAAAAATTAAGATTCTTTTTTTTTACATAAAGTAGAACAAAATTAGAAAATATAAGGGAACAAAAGAAAGAATAGAAAAAAATTAGGATTGTTTTTTGCATAGAGTATGACAAAACAAGAGAAAAGAAATAGAGAAAAAAGAAAAATAAAATTAATATTCTTTTTGCATTAATTTGATTTTTGGGTAAGTTAAATAATTAAAATTGGATTGGCTAAATAAAATGTGTATATATAATATAAACGAAAATTTTGTATTTGAGGGTGTGCTTGAGTCCAACTTAGCATAGGGTGAACGCGCCCGTGATTACAATACATGATATTTGGTGGCAAAATTGGACCAATCTTAACTAATAATTTATGTATGGTCTAAAATATTTTTTTTTATTTTTTTTTATTAATATATTATTTTTCTTGGCATTACTAAACTAGTGCCTACTCTATATAAACCAGTTTATGTCTTTGAAGAAGAAGAAGAAATTTACAAGGAACAATTATCTTATTCAAACAAGATCTAATAAATTTTCCCATGAAAAATGTAACTACAATTTCATGAAATAAAATATTACATAATTTATAATCTTTTACACTTTTATGCACTTGATGCAAAAAATGAAATTATTACCACAATTACACCTTTATAAATTAATATAACTGCCCCCAAACCCGTACTGAAAAAATATAAATTAAATTAAATTATTAATTTATCGAGATTATGTTGTAATATAATGATAAAAAGTGGTTTGTCCTATGTTTTCATATCAAACAAAAAAAAAAGTTTAACATTAATTGTTAATATCCTGGTTCTCCAACGCAATCAGAACTTTAATTATCAATACAATTTTTTTTGTGTGTCCGTGTCCAAGTACATCTGCTTTTATGTATTTATTATGGGTGCAAATTTAGACCGAAATGGCCTGTTTTAATAGGAAAATTGGATGCCACGAGATGATTGAAACGTGGATAGTTTAAATAAAAATATAATTAGGATTTTAATAATTGAAAAAAAAAAGAAAAAAAAAAAGAAAAAAAAACAGCATAATTCGTAACCCCTCTAACCCTAATTATAGCGTGATTTATTAAGAGTTATGACTTAAGAGTGTCACATGTCAAACAATTAGTGGAATCCAATTTATATTAAATATCGGCTGAACCGTTCAGAGTTTAATCTCATTTATTATTAGAACTCTGAGTCTGAAAATCTAAACACAAGAAAAAGATTTCTAGACATTTGTGGCTATGTTACATGGTGGCATGTAAAGAAATAAAATTGATGGTACGCATGTAATTTAAATTTGTAAATATATACTTAATTCCTGGTTATTTAATTAATTTCACACAATCTTATATGTAAAAGAATGGTTATTTAATTAATTTCACACAACCGTGTATGTAAAAGAAAGGAACAACGGTAAATTAATCTTACGCAACCCTACTCCATGTTTTAAATGTTATCCAGACGTATTGAATAGAGTTAAATACTTGTTAATTATAAAGGCAAAATCTAAAGTGAACATTGATTTAAAAAAAAATCTCCATAACACAAAAATAAGTACAATCATTCACTAAACATAATGCCACATTTCCAATAAAATATGATATATATTTCTTCTATTCCACGATATCTCTTACTTTTAAGAATTTTTTTTTCTTTCTATATTACAATTTACTTTGTATTTTTAATACTGCATTAGTTGCATAATTATCAATTTTACCCGTTATCAACTCTCGTCAACACTCTCTCACATTAATTAGTATAAAGAGTTAAATACACTTTGCACCCTTGAAGTATACCATATGTAATACTTACCCCTTAAAATATTATTTGTAACACTTACCTCCTCAACATCTATTATTTTATATTTTATAATTTAAAACATAATAAACATAACAATATTATAATTATTAGATTATATAAAATTGAAAAGTAACTAAAATTATTAGAAAATAATTAAAAAGTATAATATATATTGTATAATAATGAATGAATAATGAATTAAAATAAATTTAAATACTTAAGATTACTATTAGTTATATATTGATTTATTAAAACTTATCAATTTGAATATAATCAATCAATTGGTCCAACAACAATTAGATGTTATTTATTAAATATATATTCAGTGCATGATAATATTTTTAAATTTTAAAATACCGCATTTTTCAATAGATATTTTTATTCGTATAATTTAATTATTATTCTAGTTATTTCTTTCAACAAAAAAGAAAATTCTAAGCTATTCAAATTTAAAATACAAATTAAATTGTGCTCGGGGGTAAGTGTTATAAATGATATTTTAAGGGGTAAGTGTTACATATGGTATACATTAAGGGTGTAAATTGTATTTAACCCTAGTATAAAAAACATACATTTTCCTAAAATTAAGCAACATTTATTGAGATTATTAATCCTCGTGTAAAGCTGAAAACGACAATTATAAAGGAACGAGATATCATATACATATGAGTAATAGATATCATATACATATGATTATATAAGTTGGAAACGAAAGAAAAAAGCAAAAACGCCGAAAGTACAGTGCAATTAATAAATTTACCCCGGTGTAATTAATAATGTGAAACTATTATTAACTGAGCAATGCAAAAGTTATAAATTAATTCATTGAACTTCACCAAAAAAATTCTTCAAAAACACTTTTTTCTAATTAAAAAAAAAAAGAAAAAAGAAAAAAAAAAAGAAAAGCATTATTATATATTACAGACTATCACCCGTGTCAACACTCAACATGCTGTAAAAAGGCCTCAGTATTTTTACCACACAAGATTAAATATATAGCCTTATATAATTCTCTGTAAATTTTAATTCTTCAGATCTCTATAAATTCCTGAATTATAGCATTTCAGAAAGAAGCATTACGAGAGAGAGAGAGAGAGAGAGAGAGAGAGAGAGAGAGAGAGAGAGAGAGAGAGAGAGAGAGAGAGAGAGAGATGTTGTTTCTTAAATACATGCACATTTTACTGGTCACAATATTTGCCAACTCCCTCTGCCTGGAGGCGAATAATTTTCGACGTTATCGCTTCGTCGTGAGTGATTATTACTTAATTACCCTTTGATCTTCTTTCTCTTCTTCTTGTGTGTATTATATGATTTTTTTTTAATTAAATGAAGGATTTTATTTTTTTGTCATAATGAAATTTGCAAATATTAATTGCAGGTGAAGGAAGCTTCATACAAGAGACTTTGCGAGACGAAGACTATCTTGACGGTCAACGGCAAATTTCCGGGGCCGACTCTAAAAGTTTACAATGACGAAACCATAATCGTCGACGTTTTCAACAAAGGAAAATACAACATTACCATCCACTGGTAATATATATTTTGATCGATCATAACACCTTATTATAAAATTTAATTCCAATTTTTTGTGTATATAAAATTATGCGGGTTTATATTGCATCCAGCACCCCTGTGTTATATTGAATTGCTAAACGAGTCCTTGTATTACTAATATTACCCGAAACCCCTTGTAGTGCAATTTTTTGGGTAAATTATGAAAATCCCCATGAACTTAGGCTAAACAACGAAAAACACCCCCACCTATTCGTAATTACCAAAAACCCTCTGAGGGTTGTTTCCATCTTATACCAACCCCTTAAAGTGTGACTTTTCACGGATTTTTTTTTTATTCCAGCGAATAGACTTTACACAATTTTAGATACTTTCTTTTATTTCTCACCTATTTAACATAATGTATAATAGAAAACTCGATCAACAGTTAATCAGAGGGGGGATTTTGTTATTACGGATAGGTAGGGGTGTATTTCGTTATTTAATCTAAGTTCAGGGGGTTTCGTAATTTACCCAAAAAAAAAATAACAAATTTATAGGGGCCGGGGTAACTATATATATTTATATAGAGAATTAAAAAATAATATATCGAGATTAAATAATGAAATAAATAACAGGCATGGAGTGAAGCAGCCAAGGAATCCATGGACAGATGGACCAGAATATGTAACACAGTGTCCAATTAAACCAGGAAATAAATTCAGCCAAAAAGTAATATTTTCTAAAGAAGAAGGTACACTGTGGTGGCATGCACACAGTGATTGGTCCAGGGCCACGGTGCATGGAGCAATTATCGTCTACCCCAAACCCGGATCCGATTACCCGTTTCCTAAGCCCCATGCAGAAGTCCCCATCATTCTAGGTGATTAAATTTAATTAAAATTCGTTTTTGTGTATTAGTTAATTAATTTTTAATTTTGTTTTGGTAATTTAATTAGGAGAGTGGTGGAAAGAAGATATAATGAGAGTGTTGGAGGACTTTGTTGCTTCTGGTGGGCAACCAATTGATTCTGATGCTTATACTATAAATGGTCAGCCTGGTGACCTTTATCCATGCTCAAATAATGGTAATTCCAAAAACTTTTTTTTATTTTTTTATTTTATTTTTTACCAACCAATATGGTCCTAATTAAATTTTCTTAAATTGGAAAAAAAATAAAAATGTCATTCGATTTTGATTTCATTTTTATTTATGAATAAACTACTGTAGTTCTTAAAAGGGAAAAAAATATCGTTTAGTTTGTGACGTCGATTGTGTTTGGTTTCATTTTTGGTCGGTCGGAAATATCATGATGATTCGTTACGTAATTGAAAAAAATATATGGTCCAACACGAAAAGTTTTGCTTTTATTAGCCCTTAATTGTGTTTATTGAGGAATAATAATGTATTTGACTTATGTTTCATATACTTTAGGGATTCGCCTTTTGGTACAAGTAACATCTACTAAATATTTTTGGAAATTTTTATATATTATGTGTTATTTTATGTTCATACTTCTCAAAAAATATTTAGGAGGCACTGCATTTGAATCTCGATTTTTAGTCTGTCTTTTTTCAATAAAGTATTATATATATATATATATATATATTTTTTATTATATTTAAATTCGAACATTTTTAGTAAACTTCTGGATTCGTCACTGTCTGCTGGCGAAAGTTAAATATATCTTTAATTTGAACTCACTTCTTCTTATATATAACAATTATTTCCCTAGAAGAAAAATAAAATTCAGTTTGACTTAGCTTTCATACTTCAAATAACATCAACCAATTTAGGGCATAGCTTCTCTGCATAGAACTCAACCTAAATTTCACCATTTTCCCTAATTACATTAATGAATTTCCATCACCACAGATACATTCAAGATGAAAGTGAAATACGGCAAAACGTATCTACTACGCCTCGTCAACGCCGACATGAACGAAATCCTCTTTTTCGGGATCGCCAAACACAACCTAACTGTCGTGGGAGTCGACGCAACCTATACGAAACAACTCACGAGGGACTATATCGTAATTAGCCCCGGCCAAACAATGGACTGCCTCCTCCACGCGGACCAAGACCAAAACCAATACTATTACATGGCGGCGAAACCCTACGTGAACGGAGTCGGGGTCAACTTCGACAACACCACCACCACTGCAATAGTCCAATACAACGGAACTCAACAAATCCCATCTTCGATCGAATTACCTATTTTACCCCCGTTCAACGACACCGCTTCCGCGACAAACTTTTCCTTTAGTATCCGAAGCCTCAACACGAAGCTCCACCCGTCGTCCGTACCTTTGAATATCACCAAACGGATCGTGTCGACTATCTCGGTTAACGTCTTTCCGTGCCCGCCCGGTCAAACGTGCGCGGGCCCCAACGGGACTCGCTTGGCCGCAAGCATGAACAACATAAGCTTCGTGAACCCTCCGATCGACATTCTAGAGGCCTACTTCTACCAAATCAACGGTGTGTTCGGGAAGAATTTCCCGATTTTCCCGCCGTTGGTTTTCAACTACACGGCGGATTTCATTCCGTTGGAGCTCGAGATTCCGAAACGCGGGACCCAAGTTAGGGTTATCAAGTACAACTCCGAGATAGAGGTGGTTTTCCAAGGTACGAACGCGGTTGCCGGCATTGATCACCCCATGCATCTGCATGGATTCAATTTCTACGTTGTTGGTTGGGGTTTCGGAAACTTCGACGAAGAAAACGACCCGTTGAACTATAATCTTATCGACCCGCAGATTCGTAACACGATTATCGTCCCGAAAAATGGGTGGGTTGCTATCCGGTTCAAAGCAGACAACCCTGGTAATTAATAAATTAAAACAAATTAAACTACTACTAACACATATAAATATATATAATCATATATGATTAATTAAAATTTATTTTACGTGAATATATAATTGCATGCATGCATGCAGGGGTGTGGTTTTTGCATTGCCATTTTGAACGTCACTTGACATGGGGAATGGAGACTGTGTTCATCGTTCGAAGCGGAAGAGGGCCGACTGAGCGTGTTCTTCCACCGCCTGCCGATATGCCACCGTGTTAATTATATATATATATATATATATATATTTTGTATTATATATATATATCATATATAATATATTGTTTGCATTGATTGATCAACATTGTTATACTTTGAATTTATATAATCTACCCTAATATTGTATTGGTTTGTAATTAATTATATATGGAAGTGTTGTGAATTGTGATGTGTATAATTGGGCTTATCGATCTCTTCAATCGGCCGGTTTCGGTCCTTTTCGGGTCGAAGTCCAATTGTACACATATTATATTGTTGGAATATTCGAATGTAACCGTTTGAGTGAATATATTGTTTGCATTACGATATCATGAAAATAAAACGAAATGATGTTTTTTTTTTAATTTGTTTGTTAATAGGGGAAATTTGTTCAAGGTACTTAGTACTACGCTTTTTTTTTTTTTTTTGTGTTCGGTATAAGTGATCGCTCATGCGCGTCGTCCTGCATGAATAGTGCAATCATGTACGTACGTCAGTGAACGGTGCAGTATATTAAGTTGTCGAAGTTCATCGTCAACTTTCATCTAATTTCAGAAGTTCGATTTCTGCAAATATTCGGAAGATAACTGTCAAATTTTGTTAAAATACTTAATTTCAGAAGTTAACTGTTGTGG